GATAGGCGGATCAGACGCTTTAGTAATAACATCGACCGAAGCCGAAGGACTGAGCTACCGCATAGATCCCGGCATTGTTTAGAACTATTGCACAGAGCGAGTGCAAAAATAGCCAGGTACGGAAAACCTCCGGTTGATGATAGACTCAGGGTCATAAAACTGCACGAGAGCAAAATAATAGCATCATCAGCAAACAAGCGCCTCTCAGGGAAGTAAAATTCTGCCATTGCGCTGCAATGCTCAGACGTAACTGAAGCGATTGAGCGGGTATAATGTAGAAGAAAATATGTACATCATAAAAGATCCGAAAAAGATGCATTAAGTTCAAAGACACATGGACCCATGGGCTATGATGACGCGTCGGAAACGCTCCAAGATCTAGCAAACTACCCAGCATCTGAGGGATAGGAAGTGACACCAGCTAATGACGCAGTCTACACACTCCAGTAGCAGCTCCATGTCAGCCCTGGCGGCCGATTTAGTGCCACATTTCACGCCGCTAACGACGCCGCAACACACTCATCTCTGTTGACAGCCTGAGACGGCGCGGAGCCTGGATAGGACGGCAATTTATAGCTCACCTGAGGTGGCGGAGCCGCCGCGGCTCTGTTCCGCTCAGACCTGGGACACCGGAACTCTGTGAACGTCTTTGACAGCAGAGATCTACGCTCCTCTCAGGCAGAGGCGAGACCTGCACTTGTCATCCAACGAAGAGTAATATGAAAGTCGCGGTATCTGCAGAGGCAGATCTGCCGTGGGCGTTTCGCACTCACTGATCGCAACCGAGAAGATCAGATATCCGTAATCACTCCCGAATTCAGTTCGTAACACTCGTCAACGTCTTCCCATCTCGATCACTGCGGCCACTGCCGAACACAATTCTATCTGAGTCTTCACCTTGAATCGGCGCCGCGCGCCACTTCACACCGCGTTCGCTGACGACGTGCACTGACGAACACCGATCATCCGTTTCGCTCAGCTCCCGAGCTGCGGTCCGACCACACCCAACAGCGCGCCCGCCACGGCCTTCCTCACCAGACCGCCGCACGGTGACTCTCGGAACCAGCCAGCGAGCCACGCACCGACAACCTTGGGCGTCACACCGTTAGGCGAAGGCCACCGAGTTAGGAGAGCGTTCCAACACGATTTCTGCCGAGAACAGAGCACAGAGGGCGCACCTCTCACGGCTGCCGCTGGCTATCGAAATCACCGATGGGTCGCGATGTCACCTCACGAGTCCCGACTCAGGGTCACGGTCACGGTCAGTTCACGACTGTGCGGGACGGTACTGGACGCGTCTGGGCCGGCGCGGTGAGGCACGCCCCCTCCACAGCGGCGGCTCTCGACTCTCGGGCCAGACTAGAATAGCCGGGCCGGGCGCGGCGGGCCGGGCGGGGGGGGGGGGGTGGTGGCGTTGAAGTCAGCTGGCAAGTGCAGTAGCAGCGGCACACTACCGCACCAGCGCGAGGTGAAGGGGTGAGGTCGACAGACTGCCCCCTCCCCCCTCCCCCGCGCCGCCATGGGGGGCTGCAGTGACCAGTGACCACGCCCGGGCAGCCGCCGGGCAATGGCTAGGCCAGCGTGCAATGATTTAATGATAATCGATGGTGTACAGACAGTGTCGGGCGAGCGACTTAATCATGGCTGAGCCGATAAAAACTGGAATACCGGGTGACGATCGCGCCTGATCAGTGTATAACGATCAACAAGTGTCTACATATCTGCCTGTCGGTCGGGGGCGCCGGCCGTAATGATTCCAGCGAACCGCTTGCGAAACAGAATGCAATCGAGTGTTACCGATTGCAAAACAACCCATCTTATCGAGTGGCACTTTGAAATGACGCCAGCTTGTTTTGCTACGAAGGAGTTCAACCCATCTGGTGGGTGATGGGGTTTGATGACGTGGCTACTTCAAATCCAAAGACGTTTAGTTTTTTTTTTTCGTTAAAAAACGGGTCCCAATCGTAACTAACGTGACGTAGCATTGACAATTCATAACAGTGGCGTCGTTACCCGGAATCTGCACATGAATATGGAATATTAATGAATGTGTCATTATTCCCAGCACTGTGTCAGAGCTACGTCATACCTGCGATGCATTGGGAATTCGCAAAAGATAAAAATATCAGAGTCACATGTTCCGAACCGTTACGTAACAGGGTACGGGCTCAATAATACACTACCGGTAGGACCTTTGCACAACGCGTTATGTAACGACATTGCGTATTACTACCAGGCAAATTGACTTAACCGGCGAATTCAGCGTTTCATTTTTCATTTCTGTTCAGCAATCCATCGCAGCCACGCAGTATGACATTCAAAAGATGTTCTGAGACTCGTACTGTCTTTGTTCAGAGCTACTTGAAGGTTTTGAGTCTTTGGTTGGGGTGGTAATTAATTTTTAGCCCATTTGTCTCAAGTTCTGAGTGACATGTATGTCCCTATTGCCACCGAACTCGTTACCTTGGCGCTCATACCCATCAGTATTTCTCCACAGAGTTCAACAATCAACAGCTCACAATGACATGACAACAGACAATACGTTTGTGTATGAAGGCATCATATACTGAGAGCAATGTGGAGTTGAACACTAGCAAGCAACAAAGGGGTTCTCTTTTCAGTATTTTTAATTAAAAAAATATTTGTAAATCCCAACACAAACTAATCTATAAAACTGAAAAATGGAAAAGAGAGCACCTCAAAACACTGTCTACACTGATCTACATAGTATGGCCACTGTTTTGAAAAAGGCAAAAGCAACTCTGTCCATGATAAAGCGAACTTGTCTTTTGGATGAGCTGTGGCAGGTTTATGCACTACAAAAATTCAAAACAAAAATAGCTACATCCTGTGATAGATTTATGTTCATAAAAGCTTCCAGCAGGGTATGTTTCTACCTAAACTTAAAGAAATACATAAGAGCAGTCACACTTTCAGACAGTCCTTAGCATAAAAACTGCACTAAACACAAAGTTACAAGGTAGTGTTGAATACTACCTACATTGGAGTAACTGGTTTCAAAACATGTGCAGTGTAACTGCATCAATGTTCACCTTTCATGTTATCATCTTTGTTGGTGTGACCTGAAGTTATTTTAATGCTACTCCTGTCCCCTGCTCCTTTTACTTTTCATAAGTGGTATATTTGTTGAACTCAAAGATGCAGATATCAAGTAGCTAAGCTATTATCTTCATCCATCCTGCTTTAGCACTGTAGTTTTAACAACTATAGCCCCCCAAAATAAAATTATACCAAGAGGTTCAGATCAGATGCTTACATCCAATCAGATGCTTCAGATGCTTACAAATTCAGGTGCTTTCATCCAAACAAATTTATGGTTTGCTAGGTAGATATAAAATAGGCAAGCCAAATGGTAAGAATAGGATATTCAGTAAAATTTCAAATGCAAATAGAGTATAATATTGTAGACAGTAGTCAAGGGGTGCATAACTCATGCTTGATGAGATATAGATGCGATAAGGACTAACAAGCAAGCATACCTGCCTTAGCTTTACATGCCTTGTTTGCATCTGCCCTTTTTCCCATCATTAGATATAATCTATCATCTTCTTTCACCATTTTTTTCATTATAGCCAAATGATAAGTGACACACATGGATGTCTGCCAAAATGGCTGACTTCTTATGACATACTCAGATGGCAAATTAGTTGGAAAAACTTAGGGGAGCCAAGTTGAAATCAAAATATGTTTAACTCAAAAGTAGAGTGGATATTTGATCAGCAGACAGCACAACTTACATACAATTGCATCAACAACATATATATCAATATGCTTTCATTGTATTTGCAAATTTGTCCATCACAGAATAAGGAGTGCTTCCAATTTCCTGCCTCACTTGCCACATAAAAGTTAACATGATAGTCTGCAGTCTGCACTACGCAAGATCCTGGACTCCGGTGAAAACAGGGCGCCGGAGGGCATATTAGTCATGTGATATTTGGAACTTCTCCCGCTTTATGGGCCTTCTATATCCCAAACGTCACGTGTAAATTTGACAAACCTTGATCAAATCGCCCCAGGCGCCCTGTTTTCACCGTCGTCCAAGATCCTGTGGGCTGTCAGTGTCACTGGCCTTATCCGAACGGGCAAAAAATAGAAACGTGTCAGTACTCACCTTCAAAAAGTCAGTGATCCTTGACGCTTCAATGAGCGATCAAATTTAGCCTATGAGATGAAAATAATTCCCTTTAAAATATTCAAAATCAAAACAGATGTCGAAAAGCAATGAAGCATGAGACTGCCCGCCGCCGTTATCAGACGCGAATTAGGCAAAGTCCGGCACGAATGCAAGAAAATCTGCAAAGATTCCTAGCACTGTGCTCTGGCAGAAGCACACACTAAGCACAAGGAGAAAATTAAATAATATCTGCTGATGATCTTATGTTCACCACCAAATACAGCACGCCTTCCGAAGGAATTCGCAAGTCGCAATAGCAATGCATTGCGAAAAGCCACGAAAAGCAATGTGAGGTCTGCCGCTGGCGCGTCACAAATGTAACGTCTCATCTACTTGCTTGTCATATAGGATGACGCCACTAATTTTTCGTACCTGCACATACGCCTATTTGTAAAGCTTTGAAAAAATGTTGGATGATCGGTTACACCTTCGCGCAGGCATGCCACTTTTTGGAATTAGTGATCAACTTCGCGGCATAAGACTAGCATGAAACAAACGACATGGCAGGCAAGAGCATAACTCGTTTCCGCGAAATTAGCCTAGTGCGGGGCGTGTTTGACTGCTGAAGCGGTTAATTCACTAAATGTTGGGTTTTGACCAAATGCTCACTTAACTGTTTGCCTTTGGCTTATCCGATTTCATGCAGCACCGATTTAGGTGATGGTTTTACTTCTCCATTTCCACTCCGCCCTGTGGCGATCTTCACATTGTAGTTGGAGTCCCATTCCATTTCCCAGAGCAACATTCTAAAAGTGAACAGTTTCTCCCTGTCCTCCCAACAACAACAGCCACAACACACGAGTCTCCCTCACCAGAGAAGCTCCATTTATTGGTGTAACGCGTCCGAACGGGGATACGACGACGGCACGCTTTCCACGCGACAAGGCCAAAGTGCGCGGCAACGGACCTCACATAAAAGAGCGCGGTGCAGCAACTTTAAAAGAGAGGGGGAGGGACGGGGAATCGCGCGGCGCAAAACGGGCCGGTGGCGGGGACCGCGCGGTGGTGGCGCCACCGCTCGGCCCCTTACAGAACGCCTTGTACTGAGAAAACCGACGACGGCCGGGGCGCGACGCCACACCGAGACGGCATGGCTGGCGGCTGGTGCGGCGGCTGGTTAGAATCCGTGCACCTTGAGCTGCGAGCTGGTGGCCAGGTCGTACTTGGTGAGCAGCTGGCAGATGTTCTCGCGCTGGTCGCCCTGCAGCTGGAGCACCTCGCCGTACTCCGGGTGCTCGATCACCGTGCCGTTACACGCAAACTCCTGCCGGGGAGAGACAAAATGGATGGACGTTAGAGTGGAGTCAGTGGTGGTTCAGCGGGCGCTTAGAGGATCAGTGTACGGGGCAGAGAGAGGCTTATACAATCGTCGCTGGGTACGGAGAAAAGGCGAGCGCTAGACATGGTAGGATCTGTCCAAAAAGGCACGTTGGACGCGCGAGCGGCAGACACAGTGGGGTCTGGTGTAAACCGGACAGCATCAGTGAACCAAGCAACATGGGCAGCACAACTCTGCTCTTGTGATACAGTCGAAATGAACTAGCGGAACAAGGACAGCATGACAGAAGTACGGAACTTTCGATAGGGGTATGGGCTATGCGTATGTTGTGGAAACGAGATGTTAGACAAATGTCATCTTTGGGCGTGTTCGCAGCCTCCTCGGACGAAGAACATTCTACGTCGTCCGGCCAATCCCGTTCGAAAACCGCAGCCGAGCCCCCGTTGACCTTGAACGACATTGGCCGGACGATGTAAAATCTTCCTCATCCGGGAGACTCTAAATCCGGGGTTAAACAAGAATCATGGCACAACTCATAGTACAAAGGTATAGGTAAGATAGGTAATATTTTAGATAAATCCTGGACATCAAACTGCGAGTCTCTTACCAAACCATTCATGCTGCACGTTAGTTCTTATTCACAATGTTGCAAAACTACATTCGGGAGCAAGTAACTGTGTAACAAACCTTTTTGCATGTTTTGACGATTTTCTTCAGGTCATATTCGGCGGGGAGTCCCTGTACCGTGGTGAGCGTCTTCCTGCGGTTCCGCTGCTGGATGCGGATGTGGATCAGGCCGCCCTGTGCGCCTTCATTGAGTCCCTCACTTGCAGCAGCAAAGGGGTCTGAAAACAGACAGAAAACACAGCGAGTTATATGTGAGCTGATCTTGTTCCCTGCTGCTCAGCAGATGTGTACACCAGAGGCTGAATACAATCCTCTCATAGCTGCAATAAGACAAAAGTCATTGGAAAGCTGAAACCCAAGAATTCCAAAAACACTAGCTCAAATTCAACAACTCCAACAAATGTTGGACAGGACAGGAAGTCCAGCAGACAACACTTTCTGGAGGCAGACTGCAAAAGTATGACAGCTGTGTCAATGAACCACACTGCCCAGACCAAAAAATATGCACCACCAAACAACATGCATATGTTGTAAATTAAACTAAAGAATTGACAAATCTTAGGTTCTGATCAGATGACTACAATCAAAAGTAACAGGAGAGACCTGGGAGCTATGGGCCGCTGGGAGGCATAGGCCATCGCCGTGCTGAAAAAGTTTTGCGTATTTTGCCCTATTTGACCACGTAAACTTGTAGGAGCCAATGTGGTATATAACCCGCGCGATTCCCAGAATCCTCCTCAGTCCCCTTTGGCAGTGAGCACTTGAGCAGTGATAGTGCGTTTTTGCCCTCTTCAGTAAGTAAAATTCGGTGGGTACAGAAAACATGTGATTTATGTCAGTCAGGTTCGCTTTATCAGGTTACACCATCGCTAACATAAAGTTAAAGCATGCGACTTTAGACCGGGGAGACAGTTTAAAGTTTTCTTTCAAGATTTTGAGCTGAGATGCTGCGCACATTTTGGCGTCCTTACCGGGAGGTTCGGGCCGGCAATGCCTCCCCGTTCAACTGCCATGTGACAAAGCATATCATACGAAGCTCTAAACAATTTTCATGCCAGCAGCTTTATTCACCTCTGTATGACACCGATTCACAGGATATTCATTAATGCTTAGCAATACCCAAAGCTGCTGCTGGTAGTGGTACGATCTACCATTTTCATATGGCAATGGGGACACTTTCTTCATCAACTTTCATCAACAAGTGTAAACTAAGGCAACATGGGGCCTCCTGCTCAACATCAGAGGTAGTGTAAAAGTACAGTACCATAGGCAAAGGGTGGAAGAGATAACAGGCAACAGTAAATAAAATATTTTAGGTTAAGTAGTTGTGTATCTGGCTTCAGGCTCCACCTGTAATCTACTCCTGGGAGTAACTTTTTCCTAAATCTTTCTTGGTAGGTAGGTACAAAGCGATATGTTCAGTTAGGCTAGATTACTTTTATTTTCATTTTTAATATCATTTCTCCACTAGCTTAAATCTTATTCCAACCTATTTACAACTTTTATCTTATTGAATTCTGGAGTGTTTGGCATTAGTAGAGCAGACATCACACAAAGGCTTTCCAACCAAGGTGAGGCACTGTAGGCTTGTAGGTTAAGTTGTAGGTTTGTAGGTTAGGTTGTAGGTTTGCAGGTTAGGTTGTAGGTAGTAGGTTGTAGGTTAGGTTAAGTTCATTTAGCTTTGGTTAGAACAAAGCAACTCTGGGTATAGCGCCTCTCCTTGGTTGGAAAACCAATAAATGTCAAGATAAAGTCCTAAGAGGATTTCAAGGATAATTTTTGTATATTCTTACATTATTTGACACCCTCATTCCAAAAAAAATATACTTACATGTCTTGCAAATAAAAAAGAAACAATTCAGCCTGCCCTAACCTCATCTACTTACCTACCTACCTACTTACTTACTAATCACTTAGCATGTGTTTTGATCACTTGAAATGTATGGTTTATAGAAATTTGCATAAAAGCTGTGAGTGAAAATATGTTCTCAAAGTATAAATGCACATGCATCAACAGCAGTTGCACTTTGAATCCCTTCTTTCCCAGCTTCATCACACTAAAATATTAAGTGTTTTTAACGTAACATTTTTGCTGCTCTTTACACACATCACGCATAATCATTGAAATGGCGTCATTAGTGTAATCATGGGACGACAGTGAAAACAAATCGCCTGGGGCAATTTGATCAAGGAAATTCACTCAAATAAACCATTTGACATCCAGTATGTAGAAGGCATTGAGAGGGGGAGAAGTTCTTAATAGTCATTTGACTTAATATGCCCTCCAGCGCCCTGTTTTCACCAGCGTCCTTAACCCTATTCCTGGCGGGGGGGGGGGGGGGGCCTCAGGAGCCCCCCCCCCCCTGAGGTTTTTTGGTTATTTCTCCCAAACGCGTTGAGCTAGGAAGCTCAAATTTTCTGACTTTTCCTAAAAGGCTTCTACGCAACATGTCTGAAAATTTTGAGTTGATCTGACCTCAGGTCAGGTCACCAGAGGCGGTTTGGTGACCCTACCTCAGAAAAGTTTGCAATCACGCCAGAGCTAGAGTTTTTGACCGATCAATTTCTTCTCTTCAGGGTTTAGTTAGGGTACCAGTATGTGCAATTTGTATATCTCGGAATTTTGATATTAGTGACCTAAGGTCAGGTCAATTTCGCGACCTCCCCATTATAAGTCAATGGGGGAAAAATCAACTCCCTGTTTTTACCACTAAAACGGGTCGGAATGGCCCCATATACCATACATGACTTCATATACGATCAACCTTCACTACCTTGAGGTCTGTTTTGCTGTTGGGCAGCTGTGAGGTCATGTGACGTCATCAAAGGTCACCAAAGGTTTTTGGCCAATAACTCCGTACAGGAACAAGATACAGACGCGTGGATGGTCTCATTGTGTTCAGCTCGTCAAGACGCATCGAATGATATACATGATGACCTCGAGGTCACGTGACCTGAGGTCAACCTTTGACCTTGACCTTTCGAGGTCAACATATATATCATTCGATGCGGATTGACGAGAGGATCACGATGATGCCCTTAGTTTGTTCCTATCTTGACTAATTCGAAAGTTATTCGAGAAAAACTCTCTCCATATCTAGCGCCGCCATTTTGACTTTTTCGACCCCTGTGACGTCATCTTTGACCTGACCTGAAAATGACCTTAGTAAAAATTGTAGATCTTGGCCGTTCGTATCCGATGCCGTTTACCGCTTGTCGCTATCTTGCTTCGTTCTCGAGATCTCAGGGGGGGGGGCCGAATCGGCCCCCCCCCGCCAGTTTCTTGTCCCGGCGGAGCCCGCCAGGAATAGGGTTAAAGTACTTTTCGGAATGCAAACTGTTCATACCCACTTCATACAATTGTTTCATCAAAAATAGTCGTCAATGTCATCATTTTCGTGTCGTCAGTTCCCATGTTATTTAGCATGGAGAAGTAGATTCTTACTTACGAAAATGCGTGTTTTGATAGGCAAACGAATTAAGTACACTTTAGTAAACTACGCACCTCAAGCTTCGACCTTGAGCCAAAATACCACACATTCTTCGAATGGAATTGCCACAAAATGCAAACAACTTACCAACGCTCTGGAGGTTCTGGACTGACATGCGACTATTGCTGTGAACTCTTTTCAATAATATCTCGCGCTACTTGATAAAAACAATTGTAACTATATACGAGTGCTTCGCACGAGACGCCACAAAGAAATGTTCGAGAATGTTTATCGACGATTATGACGCAGGCGGATGTTACAGTGCCATTCAAGAGCTAAAGTATAATTTGATGTTGAAATTATGCCTATTTTGTTCAATTCAAATCTTATTGCAATTATTTATTAAGATTCATTAAAACTAAACATATTGATTTTAAATAAAAAAGCTTTAAAAAAATCTAAGGCAATCTAAAGGAACAGTACTATGACGTCACATACCTATCATGACGTAATTAGTTGCGTCATCATATTCAGAGAATATGACGCATTAGATATAGACGGGAATTGGACGGGAACGGCCAGTGATATAATTTCACATTAACTTATTTGACAGCTCATTGAAGAGAGGCGGTTGACACGTATTACCTACGAATACCCGCCACGACCCCTACCGGTTGACCTGACCTGACCTGACCCGACCTGGTCTAAATGCTTAAAGACATCATCTCTGATCAAAACTAACACGGTATTCGTGATCAGCACCCCGGAAAACTCCTTGATAGCCACACTTAACGACTTTCTAACAGCCACAGGGCCCGATTTTCCCGATTTTCGGGTCATTGACCTGACCTGGAAGGTCACCCGATGACCTAGGACCTTAAAATTGGATATCATCGGCTTCCTCTCGTGACGGGCAGCACGCTCGTTTTAGCCGTAAGCGGTAGGTTTTTCCCTTTTACACATCTTTTATATTTCCGGTTATAGGTAGGTAGGTTTCTCAGAAGCTAATCGATCTACGATGAAGCCATTTTATACGGTCATGGCAGGCTTGTGAACGAACAAGTCTATCGCATCTAACATCTTCAACACTCCATTCAAAAGCTTAAGACGACGAAGACATGAGCCTGGAGGAGGTATACTAAATTCATAGGTACAAAACCTGCCGCTAAAACCCGTGGGACCTGTGCTTACCAAGCATGCCGGAACATATCTTTTTTCTCTTTTTTCTGACCAGTGACCACTTTGACTTTGAGCCTTGAGGGTACAATTTCATGTGACTACAAATAAAACAGCTAGGTAAATACCCAGGGGTAGAAAGAGGGTTTTATAAGGTCAAAAAATGGCAATGGATTATGGATACACTGGAGTGGATACCTTTAGGTATCTATCGTACATATATCCTATAGGCTATAGGTACCCGACTCGAGAGCGGAAGAAGGCAAAAAGCCATTTAAGACCGATAGAAAGCCCTCTTGAAGACCCTCATTCGGTATCAGCTGAGACTAAGCCAGGGCACTCTGAAATCTAAAACCAAGGCAATGAGATCAACAAGGCCCTTATTGATTCGAGTATTCAGAGAGGAACTTCATGACACCATAGGACGGGCGGCAGGACCATGATGCCAGTAAAGGGACCCTTCGATCCGAGGGGAGGGCCCACTGGGTAGGTACTGAGACCGACAGAGGGCCCTGAGGCCAATATAGAGGACTCTCTGAGGCCATCCGAGGGCCATTGTGATCTAACAGAGGAGCGAGAGCCTTATGAAACAGGCGGCCAAAGTGTCGGACAGACGGCTGTCTGAGCCCTGGCGTCAGCCCGGCCGAGGCTATGAGGGCAACAGAAAACCCTCCGGTCATAGGGTCCCCTGACATTATCCCACCCCACCTTCCACTTATTCCAGTGAATAGAATCCAGTGAAACCAGTGAAATTACCGATGGTCCATACCTGCTCACGCATTTACCGTCTCTACTCGCCACTAAACTATCGTACATATCCGTTCATATCCCATGCACCACACTCGTCATGCCTTATCCCCTTCCCACCGACCTCGGGACACTCCGATACGTTCTCACACTTCGGCAAGTTAGTTTGAGCTGACAGTCACCCACCCAGGCAGCCGGTGCAGTGATGATACATTGATTGTATGTGTTGTTCTATATTTCGGCCTCATTTTATTATATGAAAATACATCTTACTACCATGTTATTGGTCAATTTCATCGCCATATTTAAGGTGCAATGATGAGGTTAACTTCACCTGCTGATCGTTTGACTGGCGGGTCGGGTTGTCTAATCGGGACGGTCTACCGATGGTCCATACCAATTAATGGTCCACTGGTAGAGTAACGGTCGACGATTCACTCAAACTAACGTCTCTGTCTTCGCTCTGTCCTACCATAGCTACGCCTGACTTATGACGGCATTGCTAGGCATGAGCGGTCGATCAATTCTTTGCCAATTGTCTATGCCCATCGCCAGACGACTACACTTTCGGTTACGACCGAAAGTGGATTTATAGTGGTAGTAGATATAAATAAGCGATATAAGTTCACACGAAAAACGTATAATGTAACTCAACATTTAGGTAGGTACCTAATACTTTGAACGCCTCGCTCGATTTCGAAAAAAAATGCGCCTATTTAGACGGTAGGTACGTAATGGGAGCTGAAGTATTTAAATACCTAGATTTCATATACATAAAAGACAAATAAGATAAAGATTTCCATCAGTAGGAGGAAAGCGAGTAGGTATCATCGCGCAGGCAGTTTGATTTCAGTTCTTCCCTTGCAACACTTATCGTATACATTCTAATATTAGTTTGAGATGGGCTTCGGATATCGTAAAAGCCACCGTTTGAAAAACAATAACTCATTTCAATGCATACTGCATCAGTGTGTACTTTATTTTCCGTTTCTTTGGTTGGTACTAGCTGAAGAAAGAACTCAAAAGGAACTAGGAAGGTAGGAAAAGAGTCCGAAAAGCGGCCAAGAGTCTGTGCGTCAAATATTTTACGACATTCTTTTATTGAACTCGGTAGAGCATTAGACGTTTCACTCTCATATGCACAAGACATCACGAACAATCCACATACCTACAACGACACACCACCAGCAGCGGCCTCTGGCCCTGACGTTTGCCGCAGCATGGGTCAACACTTCTATCAGACACTCATCGTTCCATCTTTACTATCGTCGCCGCCGGCGCCGCATCGGCCGTCGCCCCCGCCCCCGCCCCCACCCTCGACCCTGATGAGAACAGCGGCTCCGGCTTGATCAAATTCTCGATGGTGAAGAGCGAGGATTTGGTGGGCTGCGGGCTGAGCTGAGTTGCCCCCTGCTGCGGCTCCTCTCCGGCTCCCGCTCCCGCTCCCGCTCCGGTCTCGGCTCCCGGCGGAGCCGTGGTGGAGCTCTCCGGCTCCGCGTCCGCCGGCCGAGCCAGGCAGCGCATCCGTCTCTTCCGCCTGCGGAAGTTACCGTTCTCGAACATATCGGCAAACTTGGGGTCGAGGGTCCAGAACGAGCCCTTCCCGGGTCGACCCTTCTGGCGAGGTAACTTACGGAAGCAGTCGTTGAGGCTCAGGTTGTGCCGAATCGAGTTCTGCCAGCCCTGGGGACAAAAAAGAACAAAGGCTTGTGTCAGTAAGGTTGGAATATGGAAAGTTTGGTGAGTCAGCGAGTGCCATTCGTCACTTACAATAAAAGCTGACATTTGTTAGCTGAATTAATGGTAGGCATTTAAATGAATAAAAGTTTGTTGCTCTTATTTCCTAGCAAAATCGATGACGAATACCTAGGTGGTATGGCCAACAAACACCAATCCAAATAAAAGCGTAGGTAACTGAGCATTTTATGTGCAGAACGCGCGTCTTGCATATTACGTCGGTAATCATGTTCGTACGTTGTAGGCGCAACATGATGCTCGTTTGGTAAAAAAGTAGCTCCGCAAATAACATTTCAGCCATATCGGCTGACCGTGTGTTCGCCGTGGCCGATAGCTACTGTTTGCACTCCGGCTCACTACATGTAGATGTCAGTACTTCAGTAGTAATGGACGCCTGAATTTATGCTGTACCGCATAACATGAACCATCCGGACCGTAGTCATCGAGTAGGTACTATTTAGTCTCGCGGTCACCAGATGGTATTAGTAACAGACGCCTGAATTTATGCTGTGCCGCACAGCATGAAACGCATTCTCGGCCATTGAGCACTGTTTGCACTCCCGCTCACTAGGTGGCACTAGTAACGAACGCCTGAATCTATGCTGTGCCGCATAGCATGAAGCGCATTCTCAGTCGGCGGAAAGGACGTTGGAGCTCGCTAGGGCTCGTAATGATGTAAAATGTGAGGACTTTTGATGTCTGCAGGATGCAAGGGACAATTCCAAATTGTCTCGAATGTAAATGGACATCCGGTAGGTACTAATTGTAGGTATAAAATAAATGAGCAATTCGGAAGAAGCAGGCTACCATCTTTCAGCCTTTCTGATTGGATTGATTTATATGGTATTATTCTGGTACTTCACAGTCGCAACAGGGTCAATTTATTAGTCACGGTCACTGCACACTTATTAGGATTTACCTAAAGGCTGATGACCCTCGCGAGGAGTCATCTATATAGCTACATAAATGGTAAGGAGCTTGCTCATTATCCTGTTTATTAACGTTGTTGGTAAGAAAACTTGATAATAGATCGTTGTAGATTTTCATTCATTTCAAAGACGAAGTGATGCGCTACGATATCACAGTTAAGTGCAAAAATGCTCCAATGCCCGACTGCATGAATGCAAGAATGAATTGATGAATGAATGAATGAATGAATGAATGAATGAATGAATGAATGAATGAATGAATGAATGAATGAATGAATGAATGAATGAATGAATGAATGAATGAATGAATGAATCAATAAATTAAAAGGTTCGGACTAAACTTATGAAAAATGAATGAATTGATAAATAAATCATACAATCAATCGGTAGCTTTATGCTGCACAGGGCAGTCGACCGTTGTTGGTTGTACCCACCTGTTTATTCTGCTGGTAGTACGGAAAGTGCTCCATGATATACTTGTAGATCCCACTGAGCGTCATCTTCTGCTCCGGCGCCGACTTGATGGCCATGGCGATGAGGGCAATGTAGCTGTACGGCGGTTTCTGCGGCGGCGGCGGCGGCAGAGGACACCCGGCCAGGGGCAGGTAGTAGAAGGGCAGGTAGGGTGAGACGCAGCCGGCGCGCACACACACCGTACCCAGGCTGGACAGGTAGCTCTCGTAGCTCTCCATGTTGTGGGAACTCCTGGAGATGAGACGGGGAGAGGGAGGGTGAGTTGGGCGAGAGAGACCTTCACGATTTGCTTGACTGTAAGAAAAGTTTCTTAGATGCATTAGTCCATAATTAATTTCGTGCTTGAAAAGCTAATACAAACGTTTTTATAGGCTATATGTTTGCAATTAAATAAAAAATGCTGAATGGACCGTAGACGGTGTCCCACCTCTTTCGATGCAATAAATCACTGATTGCCGGCTTGAAGTTTCCCTCGCCACGTGCTAGTCCGGTACCGTCCTCTCGACTGCCCGGTTCGCCGGTCCTCGGAGAGTCTGGGAGTGTGCTGCTGATGCTTGAGCTCAGATGTGGTGCCGGTGTCGGAGACGACAGCCCTCGTCGAGAGACGGTTTCGGGACGCTGCTCTGTCCTGCTCGGTCCCCGTCAGACTGACGACGCCCCCGCCCATCAATCGCTCCTCCTCTCCGCGCACGAGCGCTGTTTGTTTGGACGCCTTCTGTTTGTGTTTTCTAGTTGGCCAGGTTTAGGTAACAATTTGTTCTGTAAAAACTCAATGTTTGCGCACGACGCAATGTTATTGAGGTCTGGTCAGGAGTTGTTTTTGAGCGCGCCGCGCGCAGCGGTGCCATTGTTTTGGCAGGGTATCAGAACAAGCACCTCGGGCACACAAACGAGCCTGTCCGCGCGCACACGGCGGCCGCCCAGGTGGCACCAATTAGCTGCGACCATCAGCGGCACACACTAATGGCAGCCGCCGACCGCGAATACCGGCCAATCAGCGGCCAGCAGCCGACGGCAGCCGACCAATCACAGGCCGAGCAGGGGGGCTCACCCAGTAGCTGTCAGCTCTCCGATGGCAGCCGCCCGTGTGTGTGCGAGAGCAGGATTGTCGGCATAGCTCTGGGGCTAGTAGGGCGACACTGATTCATGTATATTAAATGCATACACGCATTGGACTTTCATTAGGGTCAACAGCCGATCGAAACTTTTCGCAATTGGTACTTACGTGAACGTCTTTTCAAGTAATCTTATGAAGTTGGGCTCCCGTTTTCAAGGGTCAAAAAGAGAGCTTAATAACAATTCACACTGCTCTGATCTATCCAGATTTAAAAAATATGTTTATTGGTTTAAATCGAAGTTGGATGGACTCGTGTCCGTTTCGCGCCTTTCTCTATTTTTATTTCTGCCCTGAAACACGTAGATAACATGCTGCTCACATATCCGAAATGCTGCTCCGATCATCCAAAAGGTTGGTTTGACATTTTAACTTCATATCTTTATTTATCGTCCTAAAATAAACGATATCGAAGCAAACAATACCTGAAAAGAAACACTGGATGACCGTTGAAATGCAGTTAACGTTATCCGTATTGCCTGCCTTCTATTGAAGTGCTACTGGCTGTACCGGTGCAATTCTACGGTAGCCGAAGCCCAAAAGCCCGAAATATTTTGGACGAGCACACCATTTTCACATCCCATGGTGTGCTCCACATCCCAATTTCACATCCCATAGTACACACAGAAAAATATTAACACCGTTAGCGGTGTAATTGCACAGTACATACACACAGAAAAATATTAACACCGTTAGCGGTGTAATTGCACAGTACATATCTGAGCACTTGAGGAAAGTTAATTTAGTCCCTTCCCCGCTTAAATTACTCGCGCTTCCAAATGAACACCAGGAAGAAGGTAATAGAACACTGTTAGGAGGGTTGGGTGTTTTGCTACATGCACACAGAAAAATATTGACACCGTTAGCGGTGTAATTGCACAGTACATATCTGAGCACTTGAGGAAAGTTAATTTAGTCCCTTCCCCGCTTAAATTACTCGCGCTTCCAAATGAACACCAGGAAGAAGGTAATAGAACACTGTTAGGAGGGTTGGGTGTTTTACTACATGTAGCAAAACACCCAACCCTCCTAACAGTGTTCTATTACCTTCTTCCTGGTGTTCATTTGGAAGCGCGAGTAATTTAAGCGGGGAAGGGACTAAATTAACTTTCCTCAAGTGCTCAGATATGTACTGTGCAATTACACCGCTAACGGTGTCAATATTTTTCTGTGTGTGTAGCAAAACACCCAACCCTCCTAACAGTGTTCTATTACCGTCTTCCTGGTGTTCATTTGGAAGCGCGAGTAATTTAAGCGGGGAAGGGACTAAATTAACTTTCCTCAAGTGCTCAGATATGTACTGTGCAATTACATCGCTAACGGTGTCAATATTTTTCTGTGTGTGTAGTAAAACACCCAACCCTCCTAACAGTGTTCTATTACCTTCTTCCTGGTGTTCATTTGGAAGCGCGAGTAATTTAAGCGGGGAAGGGACTAAATTAACTTTCCTCAAGTGTTCAGATATGCACTGTGCAATTACACCGCTAACGGTGTCAATATTTTTCTGTGTGTATCTGAGCACTTGAGGAAAGTTAATTTAGTCCCTTCCCCGCTTAAATTACTCGCGCTTCTAAATGAACACCAGGAAGAAGGTAATAGAACACTGTTAGGCGAGTAATTTAAGCGGGGAAGGGACTAAATTAACTTTCCTCAAGTGCTCAGATATGTACTGTGCAATTACACCGCTAACGGTGTTAATATTTTTCTGTGTGTAGGTACCTATATATGTATAGGTACCTACTACGAGGAAAGACATCTCTTCAAAACGTCCTTAGCCGAATCTGAAAGGCTTGGTATTGTTCTTCCAAACGCCAGCACTATGCGATATCACTCGAGTCGGAATGGTGGCGTGGTATATAGGGCCTTGGGTGGCGTCAACGGTTCACAGTACTTTGTAGAAGACTGGCAGGTGGCGTCTCTGGAACACATGCCCTGCTACCATGAAATACGCTTTGCATATCACTTCACCCGGGAGCCCGCACTTATGTTACAAGAGTCCTTTGCACCAATGCATTTTTGCAAGCAACGAAAGAAATTTATCGGATATGATTGAATCGCAAACGGATGTGCCTTTCGGCTTACCTCCAATGATAAAAGTAAGCAATGTGATTAAGATTCATATTTGACTGAATGATTTTGTTAAAATATATTGCCGGACATACGTGATCACGCATGGATTATTGAACTGTGTGCAAGACGGCAAAGACCGATAAACATAGTCTTTGACGCTGGTATTTCATTTGAGCTAAAGTGGAGGCATGAGTGTAAAAGAAGTAGAACAGATAAAATGGTAGATACCGGTATAGCTTTGGCTCAGCTCAGCGTACGAGTATTTACTTTTGGGTTGTTTAAGCGAATCGCTGCTCTCCCCAAACTCTACCCAAACCACTGCAGCGGCTCCCTGAACACCGAGCCAACACAGGACCCGTCAACAGGTGTACCCTCACCATCCTGTCACCCCCCTCCCCTCCCGCTTCCGGCAGGGTTAAATACCCATCAGAGCGGGTCGGGGCCCGGGTCTCAGACCCCGCTAATTCTCCCTGCGGCTCAGCAAACAGTGGTTTCCGCCGGGGCCGGACAGTAGCGGCAGTTGTCATTAGCCTGCACCAACAGAGCGCTGTGACACACATAAACAGTGGTGGGTGACAGACGTCAGGCGTCAGGAGACATGGGCGGCAGACAGACATACAAACACGGGTGCGGCGTATCGGAACCTCTCTCTGAGTCTCTCAGCTCTCGGGCTTGGATTCAGGCAGGCAGGCAGAGCATGCATTGCAGCTGTCTCGCGGCTGAGGAACCTAGCTTGACCTGCCTGCTTGGCCATCGATCATTTGCATTGTCGATTTATTCTGTCATCAAAACAAGCGTGGTGAAACGATGCTAACTGAACATTGCTAATTGTAAAAGAAGATTTTGAGATGCTGCTTATTTGATGCAATATACAAGCGATCTCTAACGCTTTTTCTTTGTTGAATCATCAATGAAAATTGAATCATCAATAAATTTTGAAGGCTTATCAACGCTATCCGTGGATGTCTTTCCGTTTATTTGCATAGTCGTCTATCCATTTATTTCCTATACCGCAACCGTCTTCCAGGATACATTCTTCCCGGCGTACCCGTCTACCAGTGCCTCTATCTGTCTATGCGTTTATCCGTCTATCCAGTATCCATCTACCCCTCTAGCAGTAGGTGTATCTGTCTGCCTTCCGTTCCCCGTCTACCCGTCTCCCCGTCTCTTCATCGCCGGCCTTATTTCGCTCTGTCTCCCCGTCTCCCGTATTCCAGTTATCCATCTAATATCTATCCATCTATCCGTCTATCCGTCTAAACGATTATCCGCCTATCTAATAGGTATCCATTTACTCCAGAGCGATCCGGTAATCTGTCCGTCCGTTTCCCGTCTGCCTGTTCGCTCCGTCTCCCGTCTGCCCGTCTTCCCGTCTTCCCGTCTCTCCGTCGCCAGCCCCATCTCGCGGTCAGATGAAGGTGCCGGGGACGTTTATTATCCCAGCCGACGAGAGAATGGCGCGCATGTTTCAAAAAGCGGCGCCCGGCGCGCGCCGTGACGTCATCGTTAACGAGCGGGCGCCGCGAACGCAATGCGACACACCGGCGGCATTGACGGCGCGCCGGCAAAGTTTGGACTCCTAACGAGACGGCGGCGCGACCGTTTGTTTTCGCTTGCCGAGCGGTGGCCGGCGCGCTTTGGGCGTCGACAGTAACGACGCACGCGGCGAAACAAACCGGCCCGAGAACAGTGGACGCCAGCAGGCGCTGTTTGGGAGCCGCGTGCCGCCGACACCGCCCGCTGAGAGGCGCGCTTTTGTAGGCCGGCCGGGCGGCCCCGTGCGCTGCGCGCAGACGGAGACTTTGGTGGCGGCATTCCTACCTGAGGGCGAGGCTCTGTGTGGAGGGGAGGGGGTCGACCTAGATGTCAGCTTTACGCTAGATTTAGCAGAATTAGTGGGGTAAATGCTTTCAGGTCTGAAGGAAGTAATGAACTTTAAAAACACTATACTGTTTATGAGAATTGCGCATGGAATGGGGAGCTGTCATCTGCATAGTTCCGGGATTTGAATTATCTTATGCCTAAACATCAGGGTAAAACGGTTGTTTGTGTCATTTTAAAATGTTTGAACTGTTCGGAATTATCGATAACTATGCAGTATGCACACTGCACAGTTGCACAGCATAAACGTTTATTACGTAGGACAACTCAGTACAGCGAGAACGGACGCACAAATGTGACAATTAAGAGCATTTGTGCTCGTTTGTTCAGCTTCAAAGACGGTCAAGGACAAGTTATCTCCATTCCAAGTACATTTTAGCTCTTACCATCTGCTTGGCGCTTTTGTTAAAAATTTGACACGCCCCTACGGGTAATTAGCATTCGAATGATATTTCCACGATGGCTATAACACACTTTGTAGTCAGGCTGTCAATCATAATAATTCCGTGAGTCATAATCAAACATGGGGATTTTAATACCCGAGTAGGGAATATCAAGCAACACCAAAGGGAACGCGAATGCCACTTCACCGAAAAAGGGCAGACTCTCGCTTTCTTCCTCTGTCGTTTCTTCCCCCGCTTCTTCTCCGAGGGCCTGATACTGGAAGAAGCCGTCTTTTGTTTGGTGTCCGGGGTGACTGTAGAATCCTGTCTCGCTCTCGAACGAAGAGGCTTGTCGCCGGCTGCGGTGACCTCTGGGCTGTGTCCGACCTCCGGCTGTGGGTCAGGGTCATCATAGGTCATCATACTGGTCGGGGACAGTGGGCTGCTGGAAGCTAAGTTGACGTGCTCTGCAAATTCATCAAACGTTAATATTGGTCATTTCGGTCAAATTGCTCACATGCATTAAAGTACCTAAAACACTTGTTTGGCTGGAATGCTTTTTTGTGTACGCTGCTCTTTATATTTATCTAAGTTTCTTTTTTTTTTTAGAAAACTGGGTGCCTATTTATTCACCTTATGTCAATGAGATAATGGCTGCACTTTTTAGCGACATAAAATGTTGCTTATTCCAATAAAGCAATTAATGTGTAACGTTTTGCACTTTTATTCTAAATTCGGAAGTTCTCTAATTTTTCTGCGGCACCTCGATAGGCGAGTGGCAAACAGTCCGTAAGGTGTTTATAGCGACAATGGGCCAATTGTTCTCCGCTAAACATACAGAGCTCTTTTGCAGTCGTAAAATTCCCGTTTCGGGACAGCGTGCAGTTGAAGTCGGTGTTCCGTCGGCCGTTAACAAAACAATAGAGCGCGTCCAAACAATTATGGTGTTGAATACACGTCGTTAAATATGGAACGCCTGCCTCCGATCTTGTGAGTGTTTGGTTTATAAATACGGCAGCAAATGTTACGACTTACGAGGATGAATGGGGCTCAGTGCACACCGCAGGTGCACACAATGCACACCGACCAAACAAAAATTCACCGGGTGACTTTTCATGCTTCACAATTTTATCCATTCGTAGCAGCTTCCTTATAAAAGCTTTATTTCATACTAATTAATAATCCAATCAATAGACAGGTACCTATCTTCAGCGTTCGTGACTAACCATGATGAAAGCAGCACCCATCCATTCCCTATATCTGCCACCTCGCTTCACCTAACCTCGTCCTCGTCCGCAGCAAACTCACGTCCCCCGTTGAACGCCACGGCGGAGAACAGCTCCACGAGCTGCTGCCACGGGTCCTCGCCTCCCGCCGTACCGCCGTGCCTTTCGTCCGCCGTACCGCCGCCGTACAGATAGTCGTACAGGTGGGAGCCGTTGGCGAACCGCGTCGCGGCCGGCGGTGTCGATGGGGAAGCTGCCGGCCAGACGGCCACCGCCTGGGTAAGAGAGGAGGTAGGTCAGCACAGTGAAGGAAGTTATATGTGGCGCCATAGATAGCATGTTGCGCAAAATAATAAGATAAGCGAAGATGTATACCATTTGAGTGTTAACTATTCATTTTAATGACTAGTGATTACGAAGCTTAACCCTCGCATGTGTGCGGCGTTTTCCAGCTTCTAATGTGTAGGGGGGGGGGGTCGGTTGGACCCCCCCTTGCCGTTTGGCCCCTGATCGAGCTAGAGCTTCGCGGAAAAAACGAGCGTGTTGCCCGTGACGAGAGGAAGCCGATGATACCCAATTTTAAGGTCCTAGGTCATTGGTTGACCTTCCAGGTCAGGTCAATGACCCAAGGTCGGGAAAATCGGGACCTGTTAGAAAGTCGTAAAGTGTGGCTGCTAAGGGGTTTTTCGGGGTGCTGATCACGAATATCGTGTTAGTTTTGATCACAGATGATGTCTTTAAGCATTTAGACCAGGTCGCGTCAGGTCAGGTCAGGTCAACCAGTAGGCGTCGTGACGGGTATTAGTATTACGTGTCAACCGCCTCTGACAGCTTCGTAACATGTTACGAAGTCACCAAAACTACTTCGTAAATGTTCAAATGGTTGCTAAATTCGAATTCAGCTCCAAAAACTAGCCTAGAAACATGTAAAACTCGAAAAAGTGAACCGAGGTCACCAAAGGTCAATGACCTGACCTGACCTTCAGGTGACCTTGACACCCACCCTAATGCATGGGAGCAACATCAAATCACATGTTTGAACGTTTGAAACCACGAAAAGCTTGCAAACGCGCGGCTAATGCGAGCCGACATACGCGGAATCGCGATTCCGGCCAAACATGGTCTCGGAAAAGAGGTCACAGGTCAAAGGTCATTGGGGTCAGGGTCATGAAATTTTCAGGGTAGGTGTAAAATTGATCAATGCGAGGGTACTGAAAGTTTCGTCGCGATCGGCCGCTTTTTACGCGAGTTATTCGCGAAAAACCATGGGGGGGGGGGTCCATCCGACCCCCCCCCCCCTACACATGCGAGGGTTAACATGTTCGCAGGTTTTTATTTAATTTAGAAGATGCGCACACCGGTGAAGTAAACTTTCGCATGCTTAAATTATATTTTTTGTGATGTTTCGAACCACCGAAGTGTTGAAAGACATATTGCATCGCTATCTACCACTATCGTAATAACGACGATCTAATACCTAAGTTTACTTTCACTAGTATAATAACAATAAAAGCATAATTTGTACGATTAAAATTGTTTACAATGAAACAAAAAACTTCGGTTGGGTGACTCACCATCAGAATGCAGACCAAGGAGCACTTCAGTGTCACGTCCATCGCTGTTCACCGTCCAGCCCTGTCTGGTCCGTACCCGGAGTGGCCTGAAACTCCTCCAGCCGTCTGTTTTCGGCTCCTCTTTCGGACGGATTAACCCCGTTTCCGGGTGGTCGGTTACGGAACAGGGGGTCGATCTGCAGACAGGGTGGGCGAGGGAGGTTCATAAGGGGGACAGATGACCGGGTGAGATAGCATAGGAGCTCGTTACTTGTGCGTCTTTGAACGGACGACTCATGCGTGCCTTCCTGTTGTGCCAGTGCCATCTGCATCCGAAGTGTTGGCAAGTAGTGTTTCAAGAGCTTTTCCGTTTTACTTTTTTCGTCTGGTTCTACTATTAACTACTGAACTTACCAATAGCTTCGATTTAATTATTCGTTAGTTGACTATAGCATCCACATTATGACCGTGTGACCTGTGATGTGACCTGGATGTGGCTGAGGATGAGTGACCTCTCCCACCCGGGCCATTGAAACACTCCCGTCTCGACAGGGGAGGCTCATCCAGTAACCGCGCGCCAATATGGTGGTCGACCCAGTCCAATGCATCAAATGGCAGTCTCTTCCTTATCAATAATACCCTCGCTCCACGATCTCATCAATCCTAAGCATGCCATTAATTACGCTGTCATGAATTTTAACCATTTATGACATGCATCGTTCAGCATCAAAGCGCTTGCTGCAGGTCACATCCTGCCTGCCCGTTTAAACGGCGGTTGTTGGAATCGCCACTCGGACGTAAATATATTTGTATTTTTATCCCGCGGTCGCTCGTAAATTGGGTTGCTATATAACAACACCAGCATATCACCAACAAAGAGCACGAGGGTTATCGGATGATGAGAGGCAATACATTGGCCCAAGTCACCTCATGTGCCGTCGCCGTTTATTCTGTCCCAAGGGACATCCGATTACTGAGCTGCGCTGAGGGTCACCCAGGAGGGAGTTCCTCCAGTTCGATCCCGACATGACCGTCCATGGCATCCAACCCGGAGGCGCAGCATGAGGTGGAAGGAATGGGCAGGATAATTGTAAATACAGAGGCTGCTTACTTTGGAATTTACTGCCTGAGCATCAGAATGAGGTTCGATTCCGGTGCATACCAATCACGTCACACGTGCGATAGAGAACAAGTAGTGTGGCTAATAAGTCCTTGCATGGTGCTGCCACCTACAAAAGATATCTGAATCCGTCTGCTTCGTTGTGCTGCCATCTGTAAAGTTCATGTGTCCTAGCCAGTACTAGCTCTCTCAATGCTCGCTAGATGGCAGAATATGCATGATTGATCAATAACTTGCCTTGTTTCTGACCAGTCAATTAATTATTTCAGTTTAATATTGGTAAAACATGTGAAAATAAACGCTAAGGCTTGTGCTCTGAGAATTAAAATACAGCGTGAATCTGGCAGAGCCCCCTTTATTTCATAGCCTGAGAACGCCACTGTCAAAAATCAGCTGACCATACAGTCAGCTGTTGCTGCCAGCTTTGCGCTTTTGTTGACATCCGTGTCAGTCGTGTTTCTCTCTTGGGGCGTGGGAGGTCCACGCTCGCGTGTCGCGTTTGGGAACGGGGTGTAGGAAGGGAGGGTGTCTTAGTCAGACTAAGGGATTGTCACAGTCTTGATGCTGGTTTTAGTGGTGTCTAAAGCTTTGTAGCTGTTGAGAAAGACAGGTAAATGGAGTATTTGCGGTGCTAACTCAATCTCGATGTGCAGTTTGAAGGTCATGGGTCACTGCACTGGTCAGTGATTGATGGATGAGCTGAGAGTGTAGTCGGTTTTATTCACTAGCCATGTCTGACCCCATAATCCATTTTATGTGTGATAAGTGCTGCTCGAATATTCCAGCACTCTTGCTTTGTTCTCAGCAATGTCAATATTGGTTTTTGAGGATACCTTTGTCAATTTATATCAACAATGCCCAATAGTGTTTTTCAAGGCCTCTATGCATTGTTGTGTGTTCTGAAATAAGGTTTGACATATTGCTCTCTTATTGCAGGTGATGGGCCTGGTGTAGCTGAACTGAACATAGCTGCTGGTGTGCTCAGTCACCATGTCTGTCCTTCAGAAGAAACATCCTCTGAAGACCCTGAACGGCAATCGGCTGCTGGCGGCCTATGGAAGCCTGTCACTGCGCCCCAACAATGGTCAGTCAATGCTCTTATCCTCTAGCTGTCTATCCTCTTCTCTAGAGTATTCCCTCTAAGTCAATCTGACATTCAATGTTTACAGATCATCAATTCAACAATTTGTCAGGAGCTGCCCTGTAGCTCATCCTTCTTAGGTCTTTACTCTCTTTGTGCAAGGGCCTTCTGTTGAGCTTTGTTGGCCTGCAGATTTCGTGTACCATCTAGGTTCCACTGCGCCACCTGTCCAGACCGTCCAGTCGCCGATGGACCCACGGACCTGACAGGTTTCGTCACGTAACCAAGACACCGTGAATGGTCACCGTGCCCGCTAATGGCTCATTATGTGGCCATTGTTCTCCATTTCTGTGACGTTTTTCTCGGACAGCTGACGGATTGAACTGATTGTGGTCAGAGTAGGTGGACCATGCTCTGTGGAGCGAGTCAAAACGGCCACCGCGCTCTGTGGTTTCTGCTCGGATTAGTTCCGAATTAGGCCAACCGAACGCAACAATATACCATCATTGTTTTAGGGCCCTGCCACCGCTCTCGTGGTCCCTCTGTAAAACTTTGTCTGCAGGCTGCGACAAAGCATGACTGTTGGCTGTTGGCTGAGGGCTTTGCTTTCAGCGGAGCCCAGCTGCCGAAATCGGACCGTTTGACCGCAAAACCACATTGAGCGTCCGCAGCCCGCAGGGGGCGGAGCGGTAGCTGCCTTTGGTCCGCCTCCGTATGGGGAGCGGCACGCAAAGTCCGATACACTTTTCAGGTGATCCACATAGCTAACAGAGCCCCGCTGATTGGGGCACCTATTTCGAGGCTAGATGTGTATCAATTTCCGCTAATATTCGCCGAATAATCCTTCCGTCGACGCGCATCTAAGCCCACGGGCTGGCCATCGACATTCGGCAGCTGCATGTTTAGGACGGATAGCAGAACCGGACGTTTGATGCTGAATTATTATTCACATCCGTACCGCTCCTCGCCGTGACGTGATATCGTGACGTGACGGTCGTTTTGTGATAGTCGTTCTGTGACGGTCGTTTTGTGACTGTCGCGATGACTTTTGCAAACTGAAACAGCTGGAACTGACGGCGCGACACAGGACCACGTGGTGCTGACTGCTGACGTGGCGCCGGCAGGGGCCTGTTCCCCGCAGGTGGCGGATCGGAAGGGGACGGAGGGGTGGGCGGGTGTCACATGATGACATCCAGACTCCAGAGCCTCCGTGTCATGTGTCAGATGGTGGCACCCGTTAGGGAAAGGGTGCCGCTGTACTGGTGTGACATCAAGGGTCAGAGGATGAACCCTGTAACCCCTCCCCCGGAATGTCGCAGACCCGAGTAACCCAATCGTTCTGTGTCAGTTGACACCACGTCTCGGAGCGATGTCCGGTACAGAGTACAGACGCTCTCTCCGGCGTCGTCAGTTGAGCGTCAAGTCAGCCTTTTCGTGAGTTCACCGGTCGATCGATTCTCTGGTCACGAACACGGACCACGTGATCAAACCCTTGTGTCGGCTTCACGTTCAGTCCGCCGTTTGCCGTTCCCAGGAATTGTCGTGATTCACATCTGGGCCGGTCTGGCCGGGTCAGGCCGGTCGCCGTGGCGGGCTGGACCGTCCCACCGGGCGCCGCTCGCAGCACGGAGTGGGGCGGTGGATGGCCGACTTTGGGCGCCGCGCGTCCGAGCGACGTGTCTTCCCGGTGAATCACTGTCCGTGTTTTTGTGCCGGGACGTGGCGGCAGGATTGGTCAGCGGGGACAACTGAGACAAAAAAGTTCCGACAGAGGAGAGTTCTTCTTGCTATTTTAGTTGTTTGCGATTAAAGTAACACAATCTGGCTTTATAAGTCGATTTTAGATGAGTTCCGTTAATTGAGTTCTTGGAGATTTCCGGTTATTTTTTGTTGAATGCAGACTTTGCGACCGGTATAATCCGTCAATGTGATAAGCGTGGACGGGTTTCATCCCGTCTGAGCCAATCTTACCGTCAAGGTCACCAGATAAACACACTTCCCACACCCTGTTCGTGATGTCGGGACCGGCCGGGCAGCTCACACTCTGATCCAAAACAACGGCAGAGTGTGATCCGTATCAGCTATCCCACGAACTGGTGGGAAACACTGGATGCAGATGACATCAGAGACCTATCCTTCGGAGACAATCCGATCTTGCAGTTGTTTGAAAATGACGTCATGATATTATGGCGTCATGCTGCTAATGCACGTTTCGATCACTTTGTTTTCATTTCGTCACCATAAGGTCTGGAGACCAAACACACTGGCTTATCACACGCTCCGCTGTGGTGTTGTGTTGTGTCCCGTTGGGCGCTAGCTCTTATCGCTTGGCACAGGGCAGGAAGGACGGCCTTGTTGTGTTCAGGCGACCCTTGAACCTTACGCCACAGCTGTTGGCAGTGGTGGTGAACGACGTTAGACTGCGATAAATGCATACGTCAGGGCATATACAGCAGAGCTAGGCGGTGACCTTTTACCCATGTTTTGTTCTCAAACCGTACCAAATGCCAGTCACTGCGGTTTTTACCGCCTCCTTCGCTCTTCCCCGCCCCGACAGCTTCCCGTAGACAGCTGAGTGAACAAACTTGGCTTCCCTACCCCGGCCCCGTGGCCCCTCGACCCGTGTCCTCTCCGGACCTCTCGACCCGTGTCGTTCCATTCCCCGTGTGTCTGCCTAGCCGTGCCCATCCTTATCCGTCCTTATCTGGACGCAGGGTACCCCGGCACGGCCCAGCCTTGACGGCATGCTGGACTGTGCCCGCGGGCCGGGAGGTGCATCGCTGGCTCAGAGAGAAGCCAGCCGCCCAAGGCTGCTCCTATTGTATTTACCGGCCGGATGGGAGTGATGTGTGACTGTCCCGGCCCAGCTCTGCCAGGGGCGAACAACTGCCGCGCTGTGATTTGGTCCGTTGTGCTTTGGTCCGCTGTGATTGACCAAGGTCATAGTTTCCGTTGATATGTGGTCTGTATTTTGGCTTCTGTAACTCATTATCCGATTTGCGCAGAAGGAAACAAATCATTACCGTTCACAGATGGGAGAAATCCATCTTCTCATAGTTAGCAAGTCTTCCGGGTGATTTTGGTTACCCGGCCATTTGTGGTGAGCCAAGCTACGTAACTGACGCTTAACCTTCCACGGCGAAACGCCGCCAGCCAAGCGTACACTGCGCAGTGGCGACAGCTCGGATCGTGCCAATGCACTTCATGCTTCAGAACGTGTGACAGACTTAGTGTTCACTGAAGCAGCCTGTCTGCATGATTGCAGTATCGTCTGGAATAATGCCGGCGTAATGTTGCCTCACGATGTTGAAAACAGACCGAGCTCTCTCTCCTGAAAGTTGCGCGAAGTTTAGAGTTTGTTCCCGTTTTAGTCGTGCTTCATCGGAGGATTACATCAGAGTGCAATCATCCGCATTGTTGGCTCATTTCGATGGACGCAAGCATAGAAGCTATTTGAAATAGCTCACCTCAATGTAAGTGATAGCTGTTCATAAGTATTACCGAACTCCGGAGAATGATGACTAGAACTTAGAAGCCACGGAGGATGCCAGACATGTTCAACTGGAGATTCCTAGAACCCTGGGGATCTTTGAGGGATTTGTGTATGTTTCCATGCCTATGAGGTGTTCACCACGGCCTGAACTGGTCGAGTTACGCCGCTGACGATGGAAGGCCGTCATACCACGCCCCGGGGTGACCGCCCCCGCCGCTATGGCGGGCTCGTGGCGACGCCAGCATTGATCAGTCCCGCCGACAGGGAGGGGTGTCGTTACTGACACGTGTCACCCTCAGACCACTGTGTGACGTCACCAGAGAGAGGTTGTGACGTCAGCTGGGGGTGCGAGGAACGGACTGACCACTGACCGCGCCCCTGGCGCATCACTGACGGCACCGACCGCTCCCTGGCCCCTCCTTCAGCTGTTTCAAAACGATATCAAAAACAATCGTCTACCGGACTATCGGTCATTTTCCGCTATCTGCCGTCTCATGTATGACCCAGAGTGCTCTCGGATGGAACCTCTCGAGCTGGTGGGCCGGTTTAGGAGAGAGGACCGAGCACGACTATCTATAGTACCGTGGGCCCGTGGCTATTTCTCTGCCTCCTTGTATCACAATATGCCCCCCGTGGCCAGCGCTCGTCACTGTTTGGAAGTATCGACCCGACCACTCCCTTTCCTTCCGGCAATGCGGTGCACTGTTTGGACAAAGCCGACAAATGAATTCTCTGCACGGCTCCGTCGAGAATCAATGCCAGCGGCTATTTTCGCTGACTGGCCGCGATTTGGCGTGCTGTGTCGATAATCGATCATGGTTTTGACGCCAAGGTGGCCATGGGAGAAGTCATTTTGGGTTTTATGACGGCAGCTAAGGTTGGGATCTTATGATGCCTACCATCAGGCAGGGAAGCGCTGTCTTTGGATGACTGAACCGGAGCGTCACCAAATGGAGCCGTGGTGACTGCTGGGAACAAACACCAGCCGTGCGTGACACTCCTTTGTTTGATGTGGGTGGACTCGCATGCCAGTGTCGTGTCGATCTCAATTCTACGCGCCGCGTCCGACCGGCCGCCTTTTGGAACCCTCTGGGGATGTTTTATTCATCAAAAATCTACCTCTCTTCAGATTATAACCGTACCGGCGCATAATGAGATCCATTCCAATAATGAACGCCTTAATAACGCACTTGACCCGGTACCGCTTGGCCTAAGGTCCGGCGGCGCCTTATGTAAGGATCGCCAGGGTAATGCCTTATAAAACCCTCACGGAAGTGTATGATGATCAGAGTGAGTCTTTGTCTGATTTGACGACGCCAATTTTGCCTCATTTGGTGTTCACAGAGTAGTGCGTTATATAATAAATCTCAATTTTGCGACCGTCTCGTGTTACCGAAATAAGTTACTTTGTAGACTAAGCTTGATTCCTTTGGAGCAGGAATCGTTTTTCTTTAGGGTAGAACCTGAATCGCCGATATTAATTGGAGCATGAATCGATTCGGATCATTGG